AGTATATATATTTTTGTTGGTTTTATTATTTACAATATTTGTACATTTCTTATTTTGACCTCGAATAACATTCACGTCATATAGTGTTAAAAATTTTATGCAAGACTGACTTCATATCTTTAGCAGAATTCCATTACTTTTGTATCGTATGACGGCAAATATTATAGCGGATGCTGATAGATAGTACTTAAAATTTAATGATGATAGTACTTTTTTACATTCTGCCGTGATAAATTCTAATCATTGACCTACACTTCTAACTAGTCTGGCCATAAATATTGATACATAAAAACTTCTTTTTTCAACTTTTTAATTATTTTGAATTTGGAAAGCGTTTATTATTTTAAAAACTTCTTTCGATTTCGTGCCATTTCACATATTTTTTCGTGTTCATTATCAAATTACAATACGCCTTGCACAAAGTGGATATAGAGCCGTCGGTCATATTCCAGACACTTCAAAATCTTTGTATCAGCCGTATGTTCGTATATCGTACTAAGCAAAGATACAGCAACACTTCCTTTGTTGAAGACCAGAAAAGATCGGGGCAGCCGCGTGCTGTTAGAACTACAAAGACTGTTAATGCTATTAAAGCTAAAATTCGTTGAAACCCCATTAGGAAGCAAAGAATCATATCGCGAAAAAAGTCGATTGCTTGGGTACCTCTGTCCCACTCGTGTTTCAACCGTGAAGCAGTTGTGTTTGCATGGCTGTGTTTCGGTTTGAAGGGTGGGATATGGCGTGAATTTACTGGGTACAGAGGAATAACACCTGAGTCCTCAGGAATGGCAACGCATGGGGGGTATCATTGGCGAAACAGTATACTCTGTTATGTCCATGGTACTGCTCATGTCTATAGGCGACGGTTACCACTTTCCATCAGGTGGGCCGTCAGCTTGTTTGCCATTCTAAGTTGTATAAAAAAAAAAAAGATTCCTGCTAGGACTCTTTCGCGTATTATAAAACAATACCTGAAGTTCGGTGCTTATTATCGATGTACAGGACATTCCCTAAATCAATCTTGACATTTAAAGAGAGTGGATCAAAGGTACTTAGAGAACTAGGTAAGGAACTTAGAGAGTTTTAAAAAACACAAAGACTGTACAAGTAGAAACTTACGCAATATAAATAAGCTTATTTTACCTTAATGCCGTCTGCACAAAATCAGTAATTCATTCTATGGTAATTGCATAAGATTTCATAATAAACTGCCAGAATCTGCATTAAATCTGACAGAGAGGCAATTCAAATCTTATATTAAACAATTTTTATGTAAGAAAGCCTATTACAGGATAGACGAATTCATAGATGACAACATATCAAGTAAATAATTAGTTTATTAGCATACAACGTTATAATTTTATTTTCTCACTGCTTTCTTGATTTAATTGATTGATTTTAGAAATATGAAAGCGTAGCGGTTTTTGTATTAATTGCCGCATGCATTCTTATGTAAAATGTGAATACTATAACTATCAGATGGCAATTGTGAGTAGCTTTGACGTGGTCTAGTGTTTTGAGTAGTCATGCTCACTAAAATGTCCAGACTTGTGGCGGCGTGGTGGGCCGGGTCATTGGGCTCCCTAAAATATGGTCGAGCGCAGTGACGGCTGGCTCATCCGTCATACTCGTGAACGGGTGCTGCTTGTAGGGACTGGTCTGCTCTAATCACTATGACTGATTTCCTCTTATTAATTGTTAACCAGTTGGTTATGTATTCAATATTTTTTCTTTTTGAGTATTTAATTGAATTAGTGCTAATTGGTGGTTTGTATTCACACACTTAAACTTAAAAATGTAAAGTAATAATAAAATTATTTAAAAGAGCAACACACAAGTTTCTTGCTCGTTCTTCTTGTGATGAGACAGCTTTCCGAACGAGCGGTAGATTAAAAAAAATGTAATGACTATTCAAAAGTGCTTCAATGTAAGTTTATTTGAATAAATGATTTTCTATTCTATTCTATTCTTGTACATCCTCTTTACCGATAAAAATTTTCACGATTGAATAACATTACAATAAGTAAATTGATAAAATGTACGCTCAAAGTTCTAAAGAAGCTGCTCAAGTGGTCGGAAAAGTACAATGTGGTCATCATCCTGCGTCAGTGATGGTTTGGTGGGTCGTGTCTTATCAAGGAGTCACAAAATTACATTTTTGTGAAAAAAGAGCCAAAGGGTATCAAGATACAGTCTTGGATTGTGCTGTGATACCTCTCAGCAATACACGTTTTAAAAATATACCATGAACTTTCCAGCAGGACTCTGCACCTGATCAAAAGCACGAACTATCCAAGTCTAGCGACATTGAGTCTCTTAAAAAATCTTTAGAGCAAGCAGTGGCGAAATTTCCTTTGCAATTAGTACGTAAATCTATAGATTCGTGGCCAGATAGATTAAAGGCCTGTATAAAAACCAAGCCATTTCGAAAAAAATATTTTTAATTTTTTTGCTGAGACTTTAATAAATATGTAGGTATAAATTTTAGTAATATTAATAAAAAAAGCATTTTTTTTTTATAAAAAAATGCATTTTTATTTGTAACAGATCTTATGGCTGGACTAGGTACACTAAATAAAATTTATTGTAAAGAGGAAAAATTTAAAAATTACTTAACTGATTTTAAAAAATTTTTCAGCTACATTATCAGCATTATTATATATAGGCTATATATTACTTTCGAAATTTCTACTTACTCCTGCGAAGCCAAACCGGATCGTTAGTGGAAAATAAAGCCAATGCAGTGGAATCTTCAAACAATTTAAAAATATTAAGGACGGTTCAGTTTCTGAAATGTTTCGAGCTAGTATCAATTCTAAATAAAAAAATAAATCATATTCAGTTTCAATTTAAATACTGCAATAAATTTGTGTTTCTATATTTATCGACAACTACAATTATTTCAGCAATGTTTATATTCTAAAAGTGAACCTCAAACGTACATCTTTAGACAAATAGACGATTCGCTCTAAATACAAAATTAACATTTCGGTTTGTTATACTAATACAGCTTTTGTAAAAAAAATGTTTAGCATAATGCCTACAATTGACCAGAAGTCAAGCCACACGGAGCGTGTGTTTAGTATTATCCTGAATGAGTACCGAGTCAGGTGGCCAATTAGTAAAAGCGTGAACTGCCTGTCAGTTTGGGAGCCTATTATGCTGTTGAGCCAGACTCCACACCAGTTCATGGTGATGCGAAGGCCGACGGTGTCCATTATTTCGGTGCCAGCGACAATTCATATACGCTGCATTAGCATACTAATTACGTATGCACTATGGACGTATGAACAATCTACTATTTTACTATGTCAACTATCATTTTTCAAAGCAAAGTTATAAGGTGAAATATTTACTTTGGTAGTATGAATCCACTCGTACAGAATACATATAGGAAAATAATTATGTATTTATTGTATCTAAATAAATGTACATGAAGTAATGACAACTCAGTCGGTACAATGGTTGACTGCTATCTAGTGGTTTTAACATTTAGATCAGATCTTTGATTTTTAAAATTTATAATTAGAACATTAATTACAACATTAATGCTACTTGATTCCTAATTCCAATGGTACTTGAAGCCATTATCCAATAAGCCCAGTATTTAATAGTAACAAATACGTCGTAACACTTCTTATAATAGCAGTATCATGAGGTGAATTAAGACCCATTGCTTTAGCTAGTTCACATCTCTTACTATGCGTAATCTAATTAAATACTTCTTGCACCTTGTATAAACAATCTGTGGATTTTGACCCTCATGGGGTAATTGTGCGTGCAAAATCATGTGCATAGTTCTAAAATACCTTATATCGTGTTTTTATTTTTCCTTATTTAACGACCTTGGAGATATGAAAATACTACTCGTAATTCTAGGTTTTGTTTATCTAATTCTTGTAACCTGTTTTATGACTTTTTTGTAATTTCGACTCTACTTTTATGATGGTTACCCCAATTACAGATAATATATCTTCTTCGTAATCAATCATTTGGATCATAAATCATTATAGAATTCATATAAGATAATCAATAATAAAAATCTCGCATATCTCATTTGATAGTTTAGTACGATTTTTAAATGCTTGTGATAATAATCTATGGATCGAAATAAGTGAAAAATAGTTAGGTGAACAATTAACTTATCGATTCTGATCGAGCCATCGTCAAGTCATAGCGCGATTCTCGACATTATTGATGTCTTATTCGAATGTCACGACCGACCTACCGTCTCGGAGTTTTTTTTGCTTACTATTGACATAAATGCCGATCGTCTATTAGCCGCAGTTCATGCGGCCGGCAAGGTACGGGGCCCGCGGGCGTCCCACTATTGGGAGCTCATTGTCCGCCGAGCGTTCTCACGATGGTTTTTTGATCAATGCACCCGGAGTTATTTCGTTTCAATCGTTGTATGACTTACACATTTTAATCGCTACTCATACCGAGTCATATCAAAGATAAATTAAGCTGCTCTATTGAGTAATGTACCTGAGTATAACGATTGATTATTTTTAAAATACGAGTAGTCTCTGTCACACCCTGTACTCTATAGAATGAAATCGAAATCATATTTTAAGGTAATGTTCTAAAAGTGAAACTGAATACTTTTCCCAAAATAAAGTGGTTCAAAATTGATCCTCCCATACTAACTTCGCGACTGGATGACATGATAATATGGAGGATGTGAACTTTTTATTAGAAGTATAGGTAGATATACTCGTAAACTAAAATAATCATCCTTAATTTCTTACGCGTAATATTGTAAATAAGAAGGTGAGTTTGTATATTTACCTCTTAGCGATTTAACAGCTGTACTATTTGTCGTGAAATTTGATGTACACGTAATGTTAGGACGAAGAAGGACAAGTTTTACTCGAACCTGGTTATTCAACATATCTTGGTCATGCGGACGAAGTCACGGTTAAAACTTAATGTGACTAATACTTTATTTAAAACATGTTGATGATGTTATATACAATTTTTATTATGTTTATCCACAGACACATTCGGATCAACTGCCTTTTCGGTGTGAGTTCTGCACGCGGCTGTTCAAGCATAAGCGCTCCCGAGACAGGCATGTGAAACTGCATACTGGCGACCGCAAGTATCGCTGCGCACATTGCCCTGCCGCCTTCTCCAGGAGGTGAGAAATCATATTATATGGTTTACAATATGTAATTAAGCAGTGTCCTAAGACGTATAGTAATAAGAGAACACTATCTGTTTACATTTATTACTGTATTTGTATATATTAGTGGTATTTAAAATGATGCAACTATAACTTTGATTTTTATTGTATCAAAACGAATTCACAGTATATTCTGTATCAAGAAAGAAGTAGTTAATAAAAATGAAAAAAATAATAGAAATGTAGAAAATAAATGACTACTAATTGAATTATATACTATTTTGACCTGGTTACAAGAAGTCTGCTAATGTCCAAAGTAGTAGGTATGTAAATTAAATATTGACAAGTTGATTAAATGTTTCGATTTTATACTATGTATGACAATTTCAACAAAATATAAGTAACCAGGTTATGTTGAAATTATCATTTTTATTAAGTTCTATTGAAATATATCTACGACCTATTTATCGAGTATTATAGGGTATAAAATTATCTAGATTCTTTTGTTTACATTTATATTTTATGTAATTTAAGTAGGCCAGATCAGCGTTTAATGCTTTACAAATCGCAAATCCGGCCGCACATGTAGTATTGCTGTCACATATGGGCGGGAGCGCCTAAATACCAGCTTGAACCCTTTAACTCGTTGCAACGACGAGCTATGAGAATTGTCGGTGACCCCAGGCTTACAAATGGTATCAAACCCTTAAGTCTTAAAACAGATTTTGCTTCACTCTGCGTGTTCTACCGCTTGTACAACAGATTGTGCTTAGAGGAATTGTTCAAAATAATGCCCACGGCCACTTTCTACCATCGTATGGCTCGCCATCGACAGGGACGGAGACATTCTCATGTCCTACAGCCCAAATGGTTGCGTACAGCGCGGTTTCAGAGTTGTTTCCTCCCACGAATACTCAGGTTATGGAATGAGCTCCCTGCCGAGGTTTTCTTAAGAGACTACAGCATGGGGTTCTTCAAAAGGGGGGTAAAGAAGTTTCTTCAGGGTCGGCAACGCGCGCGTAATACCTCAGCATTTGCAAGTGTTCATAGGCTTCAGTAACCACTTATCATCAGGTAACTCCGTATGCTTGTTTGCCACCTCAGTGGTAAAAAAAAGATGTTATAGAATATGGAACTGAAACAAATGCAGTAAACTATTGTTTTTATGAAATATATTTGTAATAAAATACAAAAAAAAAAAATAAGGGCGAAAGGAGACATTTTAAAGGATTTATTTAAAGTGTAAATACTTACAAAGAATAAAAATTAAAAAAGGAATCTTATTGTTCCATACGACCCATTTCTTACCCATTAGACTACCAAATTGAGAAATGTGAATTACTTATAACCATTTAAGTGTGTGTATAAGAAGAATACTAATGCCTCTAATCCGTAGCCGTCGAAGGCTATGTTAGCTAACGTCTACTCGAGAGGATGCTGGAGAGGTGCGCGTACAATAGCCGTACAGAAAGATTGATCACCGTGAGTCCCGGCACAAAGCTCGCTCATCGCTATGAGGCGACACGTCACCTTTTTCGTCACCTCGCCGCGGTCACGTGACTAATTCTACGCAATTTGTCGGCCCAACGAACCGCCGACGAGTGAAAAGACATGATGTGCTGACAAATGGCGTCGAGGGTCTCACAAAAATGAAATAATGGCCCATACCTAAACCGGCACGGCGAGCGTGGCCATTAGCGGAGATGTTTGGGCGAACGCCTCTATTCTGTAGTTTGCGTGAAAAGCCTCTTTGTTAGTTCTGTTTAGTCCGTGTGCTTTATGTGGGTACTTATGTCTCATATGACAAATCGCCGTCTCTGGTCACACAAAGACGATTTATCTCATTTAATTTTAAATTCTCTGATGTTTTCAAGGCGCATTTTATGAGCGTAAACTTTGTACGCTATTAAGTTTTTTTTGTGAAGTATAATGAAGACATCGTATGATGAATATTTTTGTATTTGATTTCTAATAGAGAAGCTAATAAATCTAATAATAATTATAATTGTTTCAGTGATCATTTAAAGATCCATATGAAGACCCACGACAATCAGAAACCGTTTCAATGTACGGTATGCAACCGTGGTTACAATACAGCTGCAGCGTTGACATCGCACATGCAGGGCCATAAACGAGATCGCGAGGGTCGCGAACCAGAACGTCGTCGCGTATTGCGTTGTTTGCGCTGTGGAGACGCTTTCCGACGGCCAGATCTACTCCAGGTACATAAATAACATCCTAACTATTATCATTTAAATGTCGAAATTATTCTGTTTGTTATGTTTTGCAAGTAAATTACTGATTATTAGTAATTTTAGTAGTTTAACTACTTACCTACATGTTATGTCATTGAAAATATTACGAGCACTAATTTTATAAAGTTTTTGTATCATTTGATAATTATTACAGTAATATTATACTTGAAATTAGAATATTGTATTATATCTTCTAAGTTTCATTTATCTACTAATTAGACAGCGTTTTGAGACTGCTACTAAGTAATTTAATTTCTACGTAGATGTTAATCCAGTTTGATGGTGATTACTTTGATGTCTTTATTTCAATTTATTTTAACCATGTACCTATGTATATTTTAAAATGATTGCCTTTTGTGAAGAAAAAGAAATAAATCATATAATAAGAGAAATATTGTTATGAACATAAAAATAAACTGTACTGGCTCATAATATACACGCTGTTATATTTCTCTTATTCCTACTTTATTTATTTTTTATATTCAGGCTCATATGGCAAATGTACACGGCGTCGAAACTGCAGCTATGACTCCTCCGCGTCGAGTAGCATCTCAACCACCGCCCACACTTTTAGCGTGTATATACTGCACTCGCGACACCTTCACAAGCATGGAGCAGCTGCAATTACATGTTCGCGCTGCTCACTCTGCATTATTGAACGGCGAGACGCCATTGTCAACAGTTGATCAACCAGCGCCCACTGATCTTAGTCGACGGGCACCGGAGGAAGGAATTCCACCCGTCAAAAGACCACGTTCCGGTTCCGGCACGCCACAAACTGCGTTGTCGCCAAACACCTTGTTGTGTAATCAGTGTGGTGCTGCATTGCCAGATTTTGAGGCTTTTCGCGCGCATTTGAAAGGCCATCTAGAGGAAGGCGGAGAACTGGGACGATCCAGCCCCGCACCGTGTCTGCACTGTGGAGCGACATTTGCTGATGCGGCGGCCTCGGAACGTCACTTGGCCTCCTACTATCTCGCCATCTCCTGCGAATATACATGCCACAGCTGTGCTCGCAGTTTTTCAGCGCCAGATGATTTACAGAAACATCTTCTTGATATGCATTCACAAAATTTATATCGGTGTGCCTTGTGCAAAGAGATTTTCGATTCGAAAGCAGCAATTCAGGTGAGTTCGTTAAATTATTATTCAATAATGTTTAATCATTTTCAATTAAAGATATTAAATATTAATAAAATGTATTATAAAATATAAATAAAAAAGAATATTCAATATTGACAATATATTTTACAGCGGAGGCAGAAAGAACCTAGTGTTTTTTATTTTTAAGCATCGATTAATAACAAAACAAAATTATCAATTTTTTTGATAAACTTTTGTATAATTTAATAGATTTGCAGCTAAATGGACAAGATATGCTATCAAGATGATCACAGTATTAGTCTGGATTATTTGAATGTAATCCGTGCTTTATAAATAATTTAGAAAGGCATGAAAATAATATGTGTGTGTATTTGTATTTCAGGTACATTTTGCAGTGGCACATAGCGGTGAGAGCAAAGTATGGGTGTGTCGATCATGTGGGGGTGGCGCGGGCGCAATGCGTTCTGAAGCGGCGGCTACGGCCCACGTGCGTGCACGTCACGCGCCTCCGCGCTGCAGCTGTGGCGCCGTGCGAGCACCCGCGGCTGCGCACCGGCCCTACCGCTGTCCAATGCCTGCTTGCACCGACACATTCGCGGTCCAGTATTTGTTGGAGAGGCATGTGCAGACACACCACGCGCCACCACAAGTAAGCAGGCTCCATGCTCCTCTACTATAGATCATGACAAGATAGAACTATCACGTTGTGCAAACTAAATTTCTTCTAAATATTTTAAGTCCATGATAATTTTGTATTCTTTATGAAACATGAAATGGTAATCAAGCTATTTATTCGAGATCATATCTGTAAGATGAAAATATCTAAATATATAAAAAGATACCGTAGCATCCAACTGATAGTGAATCAACTGTAAATTAGTATGTAAATATTTTTCGTTTATATTACTTAAAATATTTTCATAAATGAATAATAATATATTCAAGGCATCGCACTTGTAGCTGACGGGCAAGATATATTTCCCGAGAAAAATAAAATAGGAGAATGACTTACAAAAAGAAATAAGATTTCGTCAAAAACAAAAAATAAAATATTAATCCCGCAACGAAATTTTTCCACTACAAAAACTTCTGAGATCTGATGATCTAAAACCAAGTCAGTGTTCATGGAAGCACCTATTCAACAAACTTGTTATAAATTGTTATCTAAACAATTACCTTTCAACATTATTAAATATAATAATTATAATGATTTGGAAATTGCACATCACCATAATTATAAAAGAATAATCTAATAAAATTATGTTTTTGATGGGATAGTATTTCCAGTAAAAAATACCTTTGAAGGTAAATATGTAATCATATATTTATAGGTTTTAAATGGAGATGTTGCTCGGGTGAAACGAGTAGAAAACAACAACGCTAATGAAGGCATTGACGGAGAATGCTCGCCGTGTACTACGGTGCCAGATGGAAACGGCACAAGTGTGGGTACTGAGGAGCGACGACGTAAGAATGGTGCAGTGGCGCTACAATGTGCGTATTGCGGCGAGCGCACGCGCAGCCGAGCTGAATTGGAGGCGCACACGCGTGCACACTCCGGCGCCGCAACTGCGAGACACAAATGTCTAATTTGTGATGAAGTGTTACCCTCTGCTGGAGTGTTAGCAGAACATAAACTTACACATTGCAAGGTAAGTTATTATCTACGGTGGGCATGGAATATGTAGACTATATTCAAACTATGTAATGTCGTAGAACCAATAAATGAACATTCAAACGACTTTTATCACATTGAATTACTTTTTGTAGATTATACTCGAGAATTGACATTATTAAAAAAAAACTTAATTAGTTTTATAAAAAAAATCTAAAAACAGTGTAATTGTCCTTTTGTTCAACAAATATTATAATTTTGGATATTTGAAATGTAATTTTCGATAATTTTATGATAATTCACATGTCTAAATATATACAATTTTATTTAAACTATACTGCAAATCTGTTTATAATTCTTAAGGGAAATATAACTGGAAATTAACTTTAATGAAAACTTCTACAATTACATATACGTATAATCTATTATTTGAATATGCGCTTTTGAGCGCCCTGTCTTAAGTAGGATTACATATTGTAAATCTTTTTGCATGAACCGCAGAAACAGTCAGTTATTATGAATACATTTGGGGCCTAATTGTGATTTTTTTATATGAAGTGGGTAAAGAACGTGTTGCTGCTTATGGAAAAACACAGGACGCTTCTTAAGTTGTTCTTATTATTTTAAATTTTCAGTAATTTGTTTAACTATTAGGCGATATTCATCTATGGTTCTATTACCCTACTTTAAATCATATATTATATTTGCCTCTACTATAATAATATAGAATTATTATTTCATTACTATTTATCATATTTCTTTCCACAATCATTAATATAAAATAATACAAATTATTTAAGGTCGTTGCGGGGGATACATGTGCAAGATGTCGTGCGAGGCTGTCTTCGGAGGAGTCGTTCCTTTCACACATGGCCCGCCATCATCCGGCATTGCCGGCGCCATGTGTAGTCTGCAGACAGACTCTTGCTTCAGAGGCCGAAGCACGACTACATGCTAGATTTCATTTACGACCCGCTGAAGATGAGCAACGATGTGCGATATGTCTTAGAGCATTGCCTGAAGGAGAAGCTGGTGAAGGCGCCCGAGCATGTTCAGCGTGTTACGCGCGACATGCCGCTCCACGGCCGCCGCCTCCAGCCGATCATGATTGTCGATTATGTCGTCGAGCTTTAGGTTCTCCTACTCGATTACAAGCCCATCTTATCGAGCACACTTTCGCGGGCATAGACACTTTCACCTGTTACTTATGTAGAGCAGTATTCACGAGTGCGGTAGGTTTACAGCGGCACTTACCAGAACACGCTGACGTGCCGCGACCTTTTGATTGTGGCCGCTGCGGACTGAAATTCTTTTTCCGAGCTGAAAGAGATAACCACGCATTCGTTCATCTCGAGGAAGCAGAAATAGCTCAAAGGGCTTTCTATGAAGCTTACGCTAGAGGAGCTGCATCAGCGTGGGCTGCGTTAGCTCCTCCAGAATCGACACAACAAGTTACTACTCCGCCAGCGGTAGAAGTGAAACAAGAGCCTGAGATAAAGGAAGAGCGGAATACTGACGAGTATATTGAAGTATCGTCTCCTCCACCTGTTGCGCCAGCTCCTCCCCCACCTTCAAATGGATCGCCTGCACCAGTGGTGAAACAAGAGAAACCCGACGATGACTGAACCGTTTCTTCACGATCACGAACGATATCGTCCGACATGCGAGATTTGTCCCGCTGCAATACTAGATTACGTCCCAGCTAATGATAGTTATATTAATAATTATTACAGATGTTGAATTTTTGCGTTTAGAACGCCGTGTCTCTTGTATGTAGATAATTCGTACGTTATATTATGTATCTTTTATGTTGTTTAGAAGTCGTATGTTTTGTAAAGTTTACATGGCTATTTGTATAAAATGTTAACTTAATAAATTATTATGTTAAGCTTCAGAACGTTTAGTCATTTTTTGCAAAATATTATCTGTGAGGGTTTATTTATTACTTCTGACGGTTTAATAGTATAACCAATTACCATCAAACTTAATATATACATAGTATTTTAGAGGGTGAATAAAATAAACTACTTTTTATCTTGGGTAAAAATTAGGAGTATAAATAACAAGAGAGTTGCATGTAGGTGTGATAATAAAACACAATTTTCTTTAGATCAAATGTATCAATTTTATAAATCAGGGAGTAGCTATCTGCTGCTGTATCCAGGGTAGAAGGGCGGCGACATTTACATAGGCGGCAGGTACATTTGCATTGGCACAGCCTAGACCCCATGATACCAGCCCTACTACTACCCATTGACCGTTCACTGAACATACTAGACCCGAGCCACCATCACCCTGATAAAGTTAAACAATTCAAATTAGTGTTATCACAGAAAATATAATACTATACTAGTATGTTAGTAACATAGAGTAATATTAACGTAATTCAGATTGGACTCAGTGATTAGGTTTTCTCTAATCCTAATGTCTGAAGGGATGCAATGGTTCCATTTTTAATTAAATGGGCTTCTTACTATTTCGAGTAACAAATTTAATACATATGGTATAAGTAAATAGTCTATTTTGAATACATAGTTACTTTAACTGTGAATGAAGAAACTGTGATCAGATGTCGGATATAACTAATATATAGACTAATATTATAAATCTGAAAGTGATTCTGTTTGTGTCACTATGAAATTTGGTATACACATGTATTTATAGGATGGAAAAGGATATAGGCTACTTTTTATTCTAATCAGTGAACATACACTAGTCCCGGTTGACCTAACACAAAAACTGCAGATAGTTATCGCATCGTAAAATCTAATGTATTTTATTATAGTTGTTCCTATATAATAAATTACCAGAGGGAGACATTGTACAAAAGTCGTTTGTTGGACACCTCTGTCCAATTCGTGTTTCTACCGTGAAGTAGTTGTGTTTACATGACTGTGTTTCAGTTTGAAGGGTGGGATATGGCAGTGAATTTACGGAGTATAACGGAATAACACCTGAGTCCTCAGGAATGGCAACGCATGGGGGGTATCATGGGCGAAACAGTATACTCTGTTATATCCATGGTACTGCTTATGTCTACAGGCGACGGTTACTAATTTCCATCAGGTGGGCCGTCAGCTTGTTTGCTATTCTAAGTTGCATAAAAAAAAAAATTAAAATTTAAATATAATTAGATACTCACTGTGCAAGAATCTTTGTTAGGTTCTCCACCAGCACATATAAACGACGTGGTATCCAGAACATAAGTTGGGCCGAGTCTAGCCGCCTGTAATTGCGATTGACAGGTAGCTGGTGCTACTATTGGAACTTCTACTTCTTTTAATATTTGCTGATATTGACCTTGTACTCCAAACATATTTTTACCCCATCCGGCTACCCAACATCTAAAAGTAATAGATAAATACTTGTAAATTTATAAAGTTATGTAATCCATTTATAACGTCACTGTAATCAATAAAACACAGTGTTATACAAGATTCCGACAAAAAATAGTCTAATACAGTATATAGTTTCTAATGGTGATCCCAAAGATACGCCAACTGCTATAAAATTGTGATCGATAAAATCGAAGGGAGTGTTGAAGGATATGGTGGTTTTTCGATATCTGTTGCCGTATCGATACTAATTTACAATTTAAAATTGCCAAAATATTTTAATCGGTATCAATACTCGTAAATATTAATACTGTATCGAGTTTTTATTGCGTCTTCAATACATTTATTACAAAATCCACAGCTTTTAAACTGTGACATTATATTTTTGGTACTTACAGCCAATTATGGATTTACTATATTTTATATATATTTCAGAAATATTTATCTGAAGTAGATACTTTATTTATGTATTTATTATTTATTCACCACGTTCCAAAAAATTTTTGGCAGAAAAGGCGCACTTACTACTACAGAACATTCTTTTCCAGTCGATCTTTAGAAAAACAAAATTTGTAATAATGCCGTGAATAATATTGAAAATTGATATGTAACAGACGTAATCTCTATTGAATTACAAATTATATATTATAAACGAGTACACAACAAAGCATTATGTAAAATAATGTAATATATATGATGAAGGACTGCACATTATGATCATATAAATATACTTATAAGAATATAAGTATAAAAATATAGTTTATATATATATATATATCATAAAACATACATACACGGTAATACATTGCAATACCAATAAAACATTTATTGAACTATTGGCACGTACATTGTAAGTACTTTAGGAAAACAAATCAAGAAGTTAAATATTTACTAATTATTGGGAATACACTCTTCAATTTTCATTATCTATGAAAATAATAGATGATTATAAAGCACATACCTATGCCCATTATACGTAGCGGTTGGTGAAGATGGGAGACAAGCTCTATTTATTGTAGTTGCCGCTCCAGCGGCTGGGGTAAACGGTACAGGGGCTGCTAATCGCAATACAGTGATATCGTACTGCAGTGTATTAGAGTTATAAGAAGGATGGCTGAAGACTTTTTGAACTGCATACTCTTGATAAGGAACTGGTTCGTATGTACCAGCGGCGTCCCATTCACCTAGTCTTACTTTGACGTTGGGTGCTGTACCTGAAACACTATTAATTATGTGTGGTGAATAATTTTTTATTTAATTTTTGTTGTCAAATTAATAATAGACAAACTAAACATATGAATTTATTGAATGTTTATCATGTTTTTGTTTTTAAAAATACTAAATATGAATATATGATATGAATGTTTATTGGCCGACATAGTTTCTCAAAGTTGAAACACTATCCTGGATATAGTAACATTAATTTTAGCTACTTACATATACGGTAGCAGTCTGTGTGTAACTGTCAGGACATTTAACGGGTCAATAAGAACACCGCCAGCTATATAATCATTTTGTTTTGTTAATATCATGGCCTGAAATAACAAAAATTGGATAAATAAATTTATGTACGAAAAAAATATATCATTACATTTATTATTGAACATTTTTGTACCTGCCAAGGGTATTCTCCAAAATTAGCTTGTCCTGCAGTCGGCGTAACAGAAAGAGGAGGCGTTGTTTGTAATATTCCACAAGCTATCTGAGAGTCCGTTATGCCACCACAACAACTTTCCTGACCCGCTGGACACTCTCCGCTACCACCGCCTCCACCCTGAAAAGTGTCAGGAGCAAACTATAAATTTTTGAATTTCTATATTTTTTTATATAACACGGAATAACAATCAAGATGGAGAATAATAACCGTTGCCTATAGATATAAACAACATCATAGTCGTTACAAAATATCCTGTGAAGTTTATTGTAACCCTCATACGTTGCCATTCCTGAAAATTAAATTAATATGTTATAGTTTTGTACCCGGTAATTTGATTGAAATTATATCATAATTCAAATCGTAGCCAGGCAATCACAGCTGCAAGAATGGCGGAAGGTATATGAGTGAGAGTGAAAACATTTCAGATTTTTTCACTATATACAGTTAACAACAATTTTTCGACTAAAATTACAATTAGATGTTAAAATTATTACTTACAGGATTAACAATTCTGATATCAATCAAACCGGCGCCTGTGCTGGGTCTGATACATGTACCAATCGCCACACATCGACAACTTTGCCTCTTGTAAATTCTGTGTTTAACATAAACTTCCTTGGGAGTACTATGAAAAATGTCTTTAAACGTGAAATCCACATTTCTTCTTTGCCTCGGAAACCTAACAGCTGTATTATAAGACGGCTCCAGAGCGCTGTAACCGGTTATAGGTGGAACTTGCAATGGTGCTGACGGTGCTGGAGTTGTGCCAAGCCTCGGATCGATTGGAAGAGGGCCTGTGGTGTTTTCATCGGGATTAGAGATACATATAATGTCAGGATTATTACAAAGTATGACGGGTAAAAGAACTCCACCTGTTGTCGGTGGCGGTGTTGGTGGTACCGTTGGAATAGTTGTGCTATCAGTAGGTGGAGGTTCAGTCGCCGGTGGTTCCGTTGGAGGGGGCTCTGGGGGTCCAGTCATGTCATTGTTACCTGGGGGGGCGGTAGTTGTAGTCGTGGTTGTTGTAGGCAGAATTATTGGTGATGGTACACCTGGCACTATTATAACTGGTGGGGTAGGATTACCCGGCAATAGCCCTAAACAAGCTGTTAAAAGCCAGAGACACATATTAGAAGTTGATACGACCGTTGTCCAGCGTGTCGACAATAGTATGCGCGGTCTGGAGTCAGGTTTACTATTAAAATCAGAGGTGATGAAGTACCCGGTATTAAATATGTCCTTAATATTAGGAATTATGGTATTCCCCCAATAATTGCAACCTTCATGGTATGATGCACGTGATCACAAAGCAACAAATTGTTGCAATCAACTAAACGTGAAATACTAATCTGTTGTAGGTAAATGATGTAATCCACATTCATTTGATAAACTACATTATGTATTTATTATAGTCAAATAATATTTCGAATGACTCATGGGCTGGAAATAATATAAATAATATTACTTTTTAGTATAGGCACAAAATAAGACTGATTTTAAATTGCAGATTTTTGGGTTCAAAAAATTAACCAAATGACTTCATCTCTAAAGTTTTTTTAGGAAAGGAGTCAGCGGATTGGTTGTTCTAATTTCTATTCTCTCTTACTATTTGTATGTTTTTGTAATATTTGAACTCGATTACAGTTGAGAATGTTATATATAGAGCATATTTTAAATATCATAGCATGTGAGTTTGTAAGCTGATTAGTCCATTACGGCTATTTCATTTCTTATGACTTACCACTTCTGATGACTGTGATTGTTATTGCCGGGAACTGTATTGTCAATTTTAGTCAATACCTAGTGTAATTACAATAGCTATTCGGAACCTATATTACTAAACTTTTATATTCGCCTAGTGATCCTGATAAGAGCTTTTTCAGTTGTAAGTGGGAAGTTAAAGAAATTAAAACCTTTGCAGAGAAAATCATAGCCACCTATGTATATAGGTCAGCCATATCATCATTATTGTCTAACGATGTGTAATCGTGGGATTCTGTTGACGTAAATAAATTGTCCATGAGTCAGTAATGACTAAATAATTGATGCCAATGACCATACATCTAAGTAGGTTTGGTTAAATATTTTATGTGTTAAATATCTAACGATAAGTTAATTTTCTCTCATTATAGTTTTTTTTTTTTTTACTTACAATGTTAATGTATTTTAAATATAAATTTTAATGGTTATTAATAGAAACGGTGGAGTAGGGGGTGCGAAGAAACGCAGTAAGAAATTCGGCTATCAATGAAATCGACTAGAGCTGGAAAAAGAAATGAAAAAGTTGTACCGGGATATTATAGGATTACTTGAAATCTGAAGACGGGCGAGAATACAATGCTCCTTGAATCTGGCAACTTGTTCTATCATCGAGAGGGCGATCATCGTTTATCGTTTGCAAGTCCCTTGTTAATAATGTCTCAACGATCGAGAGTGTGTCAGTAAGGGTAATATGCCTAATACTCATAATTACCAATTAGTATTCGCTGAAGATTATGCAGGTATAAACGTTGACCGTGACATCCTCCAGTGATGAGGTGAAGGCAATATATGAAGACATTTCAAGAGGCATACATTCTTCTAATACTCAATATATAGTATTAATGGGGGACTTTAACGCTAAACTAGGTAAAAAGGAAAGACAATGGGAAAGGGTAACGTTGGCATTAGGCAACGAAATTCTAGGGTAGAGTAGGGTAGCAATTGGGTAACTTCATAAATAAGGAGAGACTCTTTATGATGAATTCCTTCTTCCAAAAGCTGTCACATAGAAAATAGACCCTTTGGGTATAAGACGAGTCCCGAGGGATATAAAAATTACTTAAAAAAAGATTTCATAATGACAACTAATTGCCTTTTTATGCAATCCACAACACTAAAAAAAAAAAAACAAAACAAATCGCAAATGAGATCTAAAATCTCATGAAGAAATGACGTGAATTGTGGTCCCAGTCTTTAACGTCTAAGTCAGATAATAGACAGCTTAATAGGCAAATCTCCAATGTATATATGGCGTGGCATACGCTAGTTCAATAATATGTGCTTTGAATAGGCTATAGAGCGGAATCAAGGCTTCAAAGTATTTTTCAGATATTAGACTACTGGGAGAAGCCAACTGACAAAGTTGAGAACCGACACCGGTAATGTAATATCCGTTACATCTGATATTTTGAGTGTGATTGAGAAGTTTTTTTTATACCACAAAGGTGACAAACAAGGATATAGCCCGTCTGATTACTGTAGCTTATGGACATCTACAATATCACGTGTACGTTGCCAACCCTTATGTTTTATGGGCAACTGTACACAACGTCATTACGCCGCATATCAATGCGAATAACGACCAGAGCTAAAGACACCTGACACACCCCACCGATGAGGTGCCTTTAGTTACTCGACATTATACTGATGATATCTCGGACGTCAGTTTGTACAAGATTGAAATGGCTCTCAAACAGAGTTAAAACGACAAGGCACCGGGGAACACTGTATTACAACAGAACTTCTAATAGTGGGTGAAAACCGATACTTGTAATCGCCTTCAGAGATTATTTAATTTCATCATCCGCATGCGCAAATTCGACGACTTTCAGCCGCCCGAACAAGTTAGCTTATTACATACACTACAGCAGATTATATAGAAGACCGAAGAGTATAATCTGTTACTATATTTTGAGACTTTGTACAAAAGTTGTTTAGTTGAGCACCTCTATCCCATTCGTATTTCACCCGTGAAGCAGTTGTGTTTGCATGTTTCGCTGTGTTTTGGTTTAAAGAGTGGGATATGGCACGATATTATTTACAGGGTACAGAGGAATAACACCCGAGTCCTCAGGAATGGCTTTGTTACGTCCATGGTTACTACTTCCATACGTTACTACTCATATATAGGCGACGGTTACCACTTTCGATCAGGTGGGCCGTCAGCTTGTTTGCCATTCTAAGTTGCATAAAAAAATATGTACCATTCTTCCGTGCGGTCCCGGCATAGAATATACCACCTCTTCTTTTCCCGTGGGTGTCGTAACAAGCGACGAAGGGAGTGTGCGATATGGGCAGTAGCGTTCCTCTTAAAATATCTCGAAAGCTTAACTGCGGTTGTTAATCCGCCTGCCAAGCGTGGCAACTACTGGCAAAACCCTCTTAGAGGGAGACTTATGTTCGGCAGTGGACAGTTAAAGGTTGATATGATAATGATGATTCTTGACCGCGACAGAAGTCGCAATACGTATTACTAGTTGTAATCGTAACTTAGTCCGCGTCTGACTGATTGTCTTCATTGCGTACGTTGATTGGTCAAGATAAAGTACCTTTTATCCTTTTCCATGCTAATATCATATATGTGTGCTTAATTGCATTATGATTGGTTGAGTATTGGTACAGAAAGATAAATAAAATCACTACTACTTTTATAATTTTAGGTGCCATCTGAATTACCGTTAAAATACTACTATTCTACTAGCAGAAGAGAATTACGAGCAGACAATACATTTTATAAATGTATATATAAATTGTACAGATGGCGCTAATAGTAGCGTAAATTACATACTAAACACCAGGGGGAGTTGTAATGCAGGCGTTGTTGCGCACGCCGAATGTACGTCAATACAAACAAGAAGACTGCTATCGAGAACTATATTATATGTACCGCTCACGATGACAGCGCCAGCCAGTGCTCTGTTCAGTTTGTGCAAATTGCTCGTATAATTTGACGCTAGTTGTGCGTGTACTAAGTAATATTAAATCAGTATATTCCCGCGGGTACCTGCTATGATTGATTTTGTGTAATACACTTATGTTTGACGTGCTACTACCTTTAAATTTAGTGCATAACCATCGAGCTACACATTAGTGTTACAGTTACAGCTACCTAAATCATCGATTAGATATAAAAAAGTTGACCTGATACGTCCCTTCTGGCTTTGATAGTGGTAATTTCTCATATTCGGATAAAAACATGCGATATGTTTATTATAACAATTTATCCTCGTTCAGATTATACAAGAACTTGATTCAGTTAAAAATTGCTATTAAGTAATTTAAATTGTAGTTAAAAATAAATATACAAATGCGGATAATTGTTTGTTGATAAATTTGTTACCGGCTATTTGTTCAGAATGCCATCGTATAGTCAAAAAATTAATGTAGATCTAAATTCTAATGAGAATGGTGCTATAAAGACGGATGATAAAAGCAAAAAAGAAGAAGAAATAAAATATGCTTCAAGTGAGCATATTTCAAATAGTGCACCAGTGGGACTCAGTCCGAATCAAATAATAGCATTTGCTCTTAGAGACTTTCTTGGATCTTCAAGTACAGTGGTTTGTGATGAGAGCAACGAGGGCGAACAGCCTTCACCATCTAGTCTCGGACAGACTCTTCCATATATCGATGAACATGTAGATGACGCCACGCAGTCTGAGGAGGAGCAGCCGTTGGCGCGAGATACTGACGAGGTACTAAATAACGCTGCGTGCCGACTGAGGCGGTGGAAAGCAGCGTCTCGGAAGCTCCGTCGGCCGCGAATCATAGACAATTTGTGTGTTAATGACGAAAAAGAAGGTGGTGTTAGTAAAACAAATAATAGTGGTCACACGGATTTGGCGGATCGGTTACGTAGTTTAGCTGCGGCCGGCAGCATGTCGGCGTCAGCTGGCGAGTTGCTGTCACTGGCACCGCCCCCGCCGGCTGCTACGGCGCCACCTTCACCTGGCTGCCTTCTCTCGCCGTCACTTGCAGACCAAAGCTCCTCAGAGTATTTTGTAAGTATTAACAAATATAAGGATAATATAACTAAAATTGTGGTTAGAAACGAAATGTAGAATGCAGAAATTACAAAAATGTAGTCCACCTTTATAACCTAAGCCCAATTTCGACGAAATTTTACTGTAGGCTACATTGTAGTTCATTATAAATCTAAGAACAAAGTCTACTAAAGCATAACGTCGATTAATCATTAAAATATATAATAGTGTTATTAGTTAAACGGAGAGAGAAATACTATCTTTATAACCGTATCTATGTTTTTTTTTTTAAACATGATATAAATAACTTAAAGAAAAATGTTTTCATTTTTGTTTATCTAAAAATATTTATTATTATAAGTATATACGTTTACAAAACATTTCATTTTGTTTACTAGTTATAACTGGCAGTTTTCTATGGTGCTTTTGGAATAGGTATTTTCTTTTTATTTTATGATATTAATACTATTGCAATTTTGATCGCAACCGAATTACATAAAGTCTGTAGTAACATAAGTAACTTTTTACAACTATTTCAATTTTGATAATTTACGTACTTGTCTTATAGGAAGCGTATTCTCTAAGAGAAATCATATTTCTTATAAACAAGCGGCCTCCGCAAAGAGGAAAACTCAGTTTATTTCAAGATGGCTGAAGAGATTTTTTTAAATGCAATCATTAATTATTATTTATGAAATATCTTTATTAAAGCTGTCAAAATGTCAAAAAGTTTATCACCTGTTCTTCTTTTTATTACGCTTGTGAAATATTAAATTCAAGTAGGACGTGTCCAATCATCATATCATCATCATATCAACTGACTACTTTCCATTGTTGAAAATAGACCGGAGAGGTTTATGTTTTTTCTCTATAATTTGTTTGTTCTTAAAAATATGTGACTGGACTATTGCCATTTTAGCTTTAATAGATGTTCCCATTTTGGAATACCACGCAGTGCCACATCTATATCATCATATTAGTCGTTAACTGTCCACTGCTGAATATAAACCTTCCTTTTAATGGAAGGTATATATTCAGCAGTAGACAGTATATATATATATATATATATATATATATATATATATATATATATATATATATATAGATGTGGCCCTATAAGAGGTTCAGGCTCCTTATAGTAATCTAAATTGTATACGAATGTTGTTGGAAAGAGAGAGAGAGAAGATGATAGTCTGAAATAACGCATTATACTTAGGTATTCTATGACAATATAATACAAATATGAATATTTTTATTGAATTGTCATGTTTCGATCGATAGATACGAATCAAAAAGCAGTATTTGATATCTATATAGCAGTTAAATCCTCATATCTCAAGATAAGGAAACCGCAGGTGACCGTACTTAAAATGTTTTTTTGGTAGTTTAATAAAATTACTTAATATGTATATATCAGATTTTCTTTATGATTCTTTTTGCTTATATATATAAGCAAAAGGTATTTGTATGTATATTCAGATTATGTTGATAGGTTCAAATAAAATTAAATCATAGCACAGAGCAACTCTGAAATTCTGTGTGATATAATTGTTATCAGCTTATCATATTGTCTGTAATAAGAATAAAATCTTAATATTGTGCTAGTACTGTACCTAACATATAACTAACGACGAATCACTGGTGGAAGAATTTTGTGTATGCATAAATTATGCAAAATAAATAATATCTTAATATAAATAACTAGTGACCCGCCTCGACTTTTCACGGGGAATAGAGCATATCGTCATAGTCGTAGAATACTGACTGATCTATATATGTAATATTTGTCACATCCGTCAGTATTCTACGACTATGACGATATATGCTTAAACTGTTTGCATCAGTTTGTTGCGATTAGTATGAACTAGATGGGTATAGTGACCTTTACACTTACCTACCCATTACCTTTAGTGTGATTGTTTTTTTATATCTTAAGCGGATTAAGCAGCGTTTTCGATGAAAGCTCCCAGACGACTTGATTTTTTTACTTCTTCAACAACCATCGTCGCATTTTAACCAATTTACACAAAATATTAACTAATTATACATCTATACCTCCGTTAGGAATTACGCTGTTGATAAATGAAAACCGCATGAAAATCAGTTCAGTAGTTTTCTAAGATCATCGCAAACGTAAAGTCAGAGGCTGGGGCTGTTTTATAATATATAGTAATAATACATATATATTATGTAGCATAATATACTTGTGTTAATATGTATGTATATGACATAAAGAGTAAAATATCTCTGACACAAAAGTAATAACACTTTTCAAACGCAGCAATGTGTGAGGTATGTGAGAGCACCATAATATACATAGGTACAATAATTTGACATTGTTCATATAGAGAAGATTACCTTTCTTCATTCAGGTGGAACAGTTGTTAATCATAGTGGTAAAAATAATAAAATATGGAAGTATCAGAACTATCATATAACAGATACTATTGGCATTAAAGTATAGTATGCGATGTACATGTTGCTGTTCATGCCTATAGGCAACGTTTATCATTTTGCATCAGGTAGAACGTTAGCTTCTTTGCCATGCTATTTCAGTAACATCTTAAAAATTATAAAAATGAGATGAAGGGCCTTATTAATCTATTCCGAAAAATAAAACTAAAAAAATGACATTTTATAATAGTAATGTTATTTCTTTACTATTAGTGTTTCATCACAGTAAAAGAAACTTCTGAAACTAAAAACGTTACTATCTAACATATTTTATGAATTCATTAGTCGTAATCAGCGGATTTGGTCGCATTACGAGTAATTACTTATTGAAATTTAGTATATGGAAGGGCCTTCTATGTATTTAGGTACTTTTTGAGAAGGATGGTCATTCTGTATACCAAACTTTAGTTTAAATTTTTAAGTAATAAACATCTGAACATCCAAATAAACATTTTTACAATCTTTTATATTTATCATAGTTATTATTCTAATTAGGAAGCATGATTAATATATTTGGGAAACCCCAATAATCAAAAGAAAATGATTGACAATACAATGAAATGGATTATGTACTTACCTTGCTTAATTCCTTTACCTATAATTCGATTCAGCGGATGTGTTTTTAATAATAATAGGTATAGACAAAATATATCTAATTAAAAAAAAAGAAAAATCGTTTTAAAATTAGTTTTATGAAAATTTTTAATTATTCTTTACTTTTTGTGAGTTATGCACAAAAGGGCTTTATTATTATTATTATTTATATTCGGTCTATTTGGATTAAACTGAAATTATCTGAATATAGGATGAATGACATGACCCTGAGTAATGATTGCGTGTAGGCACACAACACACCGTTCTGTTTGCGTAAATGCGGTCCATACTCGTATAAAAAGTGAAGAACACGTATTGTAGATTGGTATTAGTCAGTCTATACTGAATGACGTCCAATGTCCAAATTTGTAAGTCCAACTTCCGCAATCTGACATGTTTCTAAACGGGTTCCCTAATCATGCGTTTCCACAATAGTTTTCTATAGGCGGAAATTATTCGATATTTTCTTGTCAATTTTAATTTATAACATGTTTTATTTTTTTTCTAAAAGTGATTGCCTTGCTTTCTACAGAGCAATTTAGGAATTAACATTTCTATTATGAGTTACTTCTATCTATTGTTACATTTGATTTTGATCAAATTAATCACAATCAAGCAGATGCTAATGTCATAGGGAGACTTTGTATAAAAGTCGTTGGCTGGGGCATCTTTGTCCTATTTGTGTTTCTACCGTGAAGTAGTTGTCTTTGTATGCCTATGTTCCTATGTTATATATATATATATATATATATATATATGTCAGTGTCAGAGGTATAACACTTGAGTCCTCAGGCATGGCAACGTATGGGGGTATCATGTCTATAGGCGACGGTTACCACTTTCCATCAGGTGAGCCGTCAGCTTGTTTGCCATTCTAAATTGCATAAAAAAATGTGGTTTAATTAAAAGTGATGTAACGGGGTTACGGTGTTACTTATTTAAAATTATATTAGGACGATGATTTTCAACTATCTTTATTTTTTTTTGTGCGTATTCTTGGTAGTTTGAGAAAATATAAATTAAGAATTGTTCTAAAAAATCTACCTCAATCGTGGCAAAATCAAATATCTTATTTAAAAAAAATCTGCTATTTTGATTTAAAAGCTAAATTACTAAACCAATTTTGATAAAATTTCTATAGGACCAATCTGAAAATATATCATCTTTCATATAAAGATAATTTTCCGAATCGGTCCAGACGTCTTCAAATAATTGGAAAACATTCACAAAAAATTAAACATTCCGACGAATTGAGAACCGCCTCTTTTTTTGAAGTTGGTTGAAACTAAATTTATCGATTCAGTTAGAAACCTGTACGATGAAATGTCATAGGAAGAATATACCACAGTCTAAAATTACAGATACCTGCATACTGAATTAAGCTGTGCTGGAAATACATAGTCATAATATGCTGGGTTCAATAAAATAATATTATATACCTAAGTAGGTATTAGTAGTTCGTGGTGACTAAATCAACAAATACTTTGCCCACCTTATCTTATTCCAATAGCAACCAAATTTGAAGGGCAATTCAATTGAATCTAATCTATGTCGTCAAAGTGAGCTACATGTTACATGTGACATGCGAAACTTGATAGAATTTTTAAATCTGTGACGTCATATATATCCGCCGGAAATATGGCTGCCTGCATGCGCATGGAGACAACTTCATTTACAATTACAGTCATCATATATTTATAATTAGACACAATAACGAAAAAAAGGACCGAGAAGTAAATATTTTGTTATTAAACAAGGTATTCCTCATAAAGGGAATCAAAATTAAAATTTATTTGATTATATTATCATCATTTCAGTCTTTAATTATTTTTATATGTCATTTTATATAATTTGTAAGAATATATTGTGATAGAAGAAAATGAAGAGGATATTAATAATAACATATTTTGGTTACTATAAGTATTAATATGATTTTATTTAAAAAAAATTGCTGACTTGTCCTACACTCA